TACATAAAAAAATACATATATAACTGATTTTTGTTTACTGATCTTGTATTCTGTGACCTTGCAAAACTCAGTTTTTCATTTCAAGAGTTATTTGTAGAATCCTTAGGATTCTCTATATAGAAAATTATGTCTTCTGGGAATAGAGAGTTTTCTTTCTTTCTCATCTGTATGTTTTTTATTTCCTTTTCTTGCTTTACTGCACTGGCTAGAATTTCCAGGACAATGTTGAAAAGAAATGGTGAGAATGGCTATCTTTGCTTTGTTCCTGATCTTAGGAGGAAAGCATTCAGTAAGTATGATGTTGGCTGTATAGGTATTTTGATGGAAGCATTTTCTGAGGAGCTCTGATGGTGCAGTGGTTAAGGAATTCGACTGCTAACCAAAGGGTCAGCATTTCAAACCCACCAGCTACTCCACAGGAGGAAGATGAAGCAGTCTGTTTTCATAAAGATTTATAGCCTTGGAAACCCTGAGACAGTTCTACTCTGTCCCAAAGGGTTGCTACGAACTGGAATCAACTCGATGGCAGCGGGTATCTTTTCAGGGTAAAGAAGTTACCTTCTATCCCAGTTTACTGAGTGTTTTTATTATGAATGAATGTCGAATTCTGTCAAATACTTTATCTGGATCTATGAAGATGATATGATTTTTCTTCTTTAGAATGCTGATATGGTGAATTACATTGAGTTTTAAATTTTAAATGCTCCATCAACCATACATTCCTGGGATAATCCAACTTGGTTGTGATATTTTATCCTTTTCATATATTGCTGGAATTTTCTAATATTTTGCTGAGCATTTTTATAGGTATATTCATGTGGGATATTAATCTATAGTTTTTTCTTTGTAATATCTTTTTCTGATTTTAGTATCAGGGTAACATTGACGTCTCCAATTTTCTGGAAGAGATTATATATGATTGCCATTATTTCTTCCTTAAATGTTTGGTGGAATTCACCAGAGAAGTTATCTAGACCTAGAGACTTCCTTGTCATAAAATGTTTAATTCTATGAATTCAATTTCTTTTATAGACATAGGACAACTCAGGTTATCTATTTCGTCCAGAGCTATGTTTCTGAACAGCTGCAAAACTGACATTTCTAGCTGGATAATTCTTCGCAAGATGAACTGCAGGATGCTTAATTACATCCCTGGCTTCTACCCAGTGGTTGCTAGTAGCAGCTCTCCTTTCCCATCCTACTTCCCAGCTGTGACAACCATGCAGACAAATGTCCTAAAGGATAAAATTGTTCCCAATTAAGAACCACTCTTCTTCAGTGAGCTTCAGCAGTTAGTGTATTTCAAGGAATTGGTCCATTTCAAGTTGTTGAATTTACAGGCATAAGGCTGTACATAATATTCCCTTATTATCTTTTTAGTAATTTTTGTGGTCTGAGATGCTGTTCCAAATTCATTCCTGACATTAGTAATTTGTATTCTCACTTTTTTTCTTGTTAAGTTTGGTTAGAAGTTTATCAACATTTTGGATCTTTTTAATTTACTTTCTCTATTGGCTTTACTAAAGAGCTCTTATGGCATAGTGCCTAAGGCATCTGACTGCTAACCAAAAGACTAGCAGTTCAAACCCACCAGCCACTCCTTGGAAGGAAGATTGGGCAATCTACTTCTGTAGTGATATCACCTTGGAAACTCAAGGAGGGGTCGCTATGAGTTGGATCCGATTCAATGGCACTGAGTTTGGTGTTTTTTGGTTTTTTTTTTTTAATTGGCTTTACAGATTTATGAGCTTATCTTTATTATTTCCTTCATTTTGCTTGCACTAGGTTTAATTTGCTTTTCTTTCTAGTTTCTCAGGTTGGAAGCTTAGATCACTGTTTGAAACATTTCTTATTTTCTATTAATTTAACATTGTAAGTATTCATCTATGCACTACTGCTTTAGCTGTATCCCATAAATTTTGACGTTATGTTTTCTTTCATTCTCATCCAATTTAAAGTATTTTCTAATTACTCTTACGGTTTCCTCTTTGATACATGGGTTACTTAGATATATGCTGTTTGATTTCCAAATATTTGGGAATTTTCCAGTATTTGCTGCTACTCATTTCTAGGTAAATTCTGATATAACCAGAAAACATGTCTATATGATTTCTATTATTTTAAATGTTAACATTTGTTTTATAGTTCAGAATATGTCCTATCCTGACAAATGTAACATGTGCACTTAAAAAAGAAATTGTATTCTGCTGTTAAGTGTTGTAAAAACATCAATCAGGTCAAACTGATTTGATAGTCAGTTTATTCAGGTCTTGTATGACCTAACTGGTTTTCATCCACTTTGTATCAATTAATGAGAGAGGAGTATAAAGTCTCCAAGTCAAATTGGGAATCTGAAAAAGAAATGCTTTAAAGAAATAGGTTATCTTACCATTTTGAATTTGAGCCACTTTTTTAGAGATCTCTCCAATAATCTGTGAAATAAATAAAAGGTAATAAATATTCATGACATTTGAATATTCCTGAAAGCACAGGGAGAATATAATTCAAAATCAGTAATTAAAAATACTTAGAATTCCAGTTTAAAAAATGAGTTAGATAATAAAAAGCTATCATAGACGTATTATTGCTACTAAAATCAGATTGACCCAAAACGTACCTGCCGTCTCCACTTTTCAGCTTTGGGCAGTTCTGTACATTCTGAGGCAAGAAAGGGTCTTCGTTCCTAGGGAGAAGCAAAATGCACGTGTTGCCACTATAATAGTTATAAGCTTCTTATAATATTCACAGTTGATTCAGACTGAGAGCCTAAAACATATAATTATCTAAATACATTTGAAGTTTCAGTTCCAGGTGATCCTCATCAAGCCTACAATTCACTCTGGAATCTCTCTTTAGGAAACAACTATGAGGCAAAAACATTCATCTTGTTGTATCCAGTGGTAAAACACTGGAAATAACTTAAACATCCAATTATTATTATAGTGAGATTCTATTCTATCCTTTTGAGAAGTGACTAAATAAACTCGATTATATCCATTTCATGAAAATATTTATTCTACTTTAAGACGTTTATTAGTGTTTAGAACAAAGACATGCTTGTATTATTTAAAGTAAAAAGAGCAAGATATAAAATTGTATTTAATGGGCTAATTAACTAGGTTAAAATATATATGTGCATAGAAAAAAACACTGGAAAGAAATATCCAGCAAATGCTGATAACTGTAGTTGTCTTTGGGCAGTAAAAATATAAGAGACTTTTCCCCCTCTTCTTTTTATTTTTCTTTATTTTGCAAGTTTTCTATGAATATTGCTTTCATAAATAACATCTGTTGGTAACCGTTGAAGGAAAATAGTCTGTGTTTGGAAGGGTCTTCGTAACATTCTCTGTACTTTCGTGTACATTTGAAATTTCCCATAATAAACACGTTAAAAGGAAAAAAAAAAACAGACAACACATAAACATATGTGTATGCATGTATGAATTTAAAAAAAATAAGAAAGGAAAATATCCTAATAATGGTATATATTATCCCTAGCCTGGCTGAATCTCCAGGAGTTAAGTTCATTTACTAGTTTCAGCTTAGAGCTGCTCCCTATCCAACACTCAGTATTAAACAGAGCTGGGATAGTAAGGGAACACAAACATTATGTTGCTGAGGAGATGGAAGAAGTAACAACCAAATTATTGCACTGTCCCAACTACAGGGCAATACACTTGGAATTCAAGAGTACAGACTCTTAAGAGTATCAGCAAGTAGGTTAAGAGACAAATACTAATTTGGGTGAACGGAAAGGCAATAAATCAAATCGAGTGACCAACACAGTAACACTAAAGAAAAGGAAAACACAGAGAGGTGCACAAGAGGTACAGAAAACAAAAAAATAAATAAAATTTTGCATATATGATACTACATTATCAATGATAACAAATATTAATCTATGGGTAAACAGATGGGTAGACAGGCTGAACGATCAGGTGTGTCCAGGCAAAATGGAATATACCCACGACCATATATAAGGCTGCTGTTGTTGTTAGGTGCTGTCAAGTCTTCTTCCGCTCACAGCGACCCTACATACAACAGAATGAAACTGCCCGGTCCTGTGCTAGCCTCATGATCTTTGCTATAACTGAGCTCACTGTTGCAGCTACTGTGTCAATCCATCTTGTTGAGGGCCTTTCCCTCTTTCACTGACCCGCCACTTTACCAAGCAAGATATCATTCTCCAGAGAATGATCCCTTCTGACAACATGACCAAAGTAGGTGAGATGAAGTCAGGCCATTTTCGCTTCCAAGAAGCATTCTGGCTGCACTTCTTCCACGACAGATTTGTTAGTTCTTTTAGCAGTCCACAGTACTTTCAGTAGTCTTCACCAACACCACAACTCAAAAGCATCAATTCTTCTTCATTCTTCCTTATTCACTGCCCAGCACTCACATTCATATGAGGCAACAGAAAATACCACGGCTGGGGTTAGGCACACTTAGTCTTCAAGGAGACATCTTTGTTCTTCAGCACTTGAAAGAGGTCTTTTTGCAGCAGATCTGCCCAACGCAATGTCATCTGATGTCATGACTGCTGCTTCCATTGGTACTGATTGTAGAACCAAGTAATATGAAGTCTTTGACAACTTCAATCTCTTTTCCATTTATCATAATGCTGCTTATTGGTCCAGTTCTGAGGATTTTTGTTTTCTTTATATTGAGGCATAAGCCATACTGCAGACTGTAGTCTTCAATCTTCATTAATAAGTGCTTCAAGTCATCCTCACTATCAGTAAGCAAAGTAGTGTCATCTGCATATCACAGGTGATTAATGAGCCTTCCTCCAATCGTGATGCCATGTTCTTCATATAATCCAGCTTCTCGGATTATTTGCTCAGCATACAGATTGAATAAGTATGGTGAAAGGATACAACTCTGATGCACTACCTTCCTGATTTTAAACCATGCAGTATCCCCTATTCTGTTTGAACAATAGCCTCCTGAACTATGTACAGGTTCCTCAGGAGTACAATTAAGTGTTCTGGAATTTTCATTCTTCTCAATGTTATCCATAACTTGTATGATTCACACAATCAAATGCTTTTGCATAGTCAATAAAAAACAAGTAAACATCTTTCTGATATTCTTTGCCTTCAGCCAAGATCCATCTGACATCAGCAATAATATTCCTCATTGCATGTCCTCTTCTGAATCCAGCTTGCATTTCTGGAAGTTCTCTATCAACATACTGCTACAAGTATTTCTGAATTATCTTCAGTAAGATTTCACGTGCATGTGATATTAACATTGTTCGATAATTTCCATATTCTGTAGGATCACCTTTCTCTGGAATGGGTACAAATATGGATCTTTTCCAGTCAGTTGGCCAGGTAGCTGTCTTCCAAATCTCTTGACATAGCTGAGTAAGTGCCTCCAGCACAGCATCCGTGTGCTGAAACATCTCAAAGGGTATTCCGTCAATTGGTACTATATATAAAGCTGTTGTTGCTATGTGCCGTCGAGTCATCTCCGACTCACAGCAATCCCTCCTTGGGTTTCCGAGGCAGTATCACTATGGAAGTAGATTGCCCAATCTTCCTTCCGAAGAGTGGCTGGTGGGTTTGAACCGCCAATCTTCTGGTCAGCAGTCAAGTGCCTTAGGCACTACACCACCAGAGCTCCCATATACAAGGCTAGCAGACGATGTTTCTATGTATACGTTTGTATGAGCCATAAGAATGTCCATATAAATAGAATTAATGGGGGCACAGTTATGACAACTTCTTAGGCACAGTCAACCACCATGATGGAACAAGTTGTTGGACTTGTGGGATTGGGACCATGGTTGCAGAGGACATAAAACTTTATTAGCATAACACACCAAAGGAAAAAACCACGTAACATACAAAAACATTGTTCTACATCCCACTTTGGAGAGTAGCACCTGGGGTCTTAAAAGCTTGCAAGTAGCTATCTAGATGTAACAATTGGTCTGCCCTCATGTGGACCAAAGAAGAATGAAGAAAACCAGAGACACATGGAAACAACTAGTCCAAGAGACTAGTAGATCATGCAAACCTTAGTCTACACGACCATGAGTCCAGAAGAATGAGATGGTGCCTGGCTGCCACTGTCAACCACTCGGAAAGGGACCAGGGAAGGAGATCCTGGATACGGTGGGAAAATAATGTGGAACAAAACTAATAATCATAAAAAAAGACCAGGGTTACTGGTTTGATAGAGCCTAGCGAAACCCTCAAGACCATGGCCCCTAGTTAGGCTTCAGGACTGGAATTGAACTCACTCCAGCCAAACAATGAATAGGCATATAGGATGAACACTTACATCAGGGAGATACACTCCTTAGAACAATGGATCATGGGAGAAAAGAAGGGCAGTTATTTGCACAGGGAGAAAATTCGGGGGGCAGGAATGCATAGGAAAAAAGGACCCAAGGAAGAGGAACTACAGGGAAGAAGTGGCAAGGGAGCTGTTACATTGTGGAGAATTACAGTCAATGTCATGAAACAGTATGTACAAAGTGCTGTATGGAAAATGAATTTGCTCTGTAAACTTCTACCCAAATCACAATAAAAATTAAAAAAAAAAAAAAAAAAAAAAACTTCCAGTAAGATGGAGGAACAGGCAGACTAACAACACAGACCCTCTTCAACAAAGAAAAGAAAACCCAATTGAGAGAGGTACAGAAGATAATCCTGGAGCCCTGAGCTTTGAAAGGAACTATACAGAAGTGGATTAGGCACCAACTAGTGGGAAAACCTGAATGAAAACAGTGAGTATGGAAACGATCGGAGTTGTAATCTACTCTGAACGGGACCAACAGCCTGAACGGGACCAACAGCCTGAACATTTCAAGTGGTGTTGGGACCTGAGAATTGACCTAAAGATCAGCCCTGGTCACCAAGAGCTGCAGGGAGGGACAACTGCTGGTGGCCTATGACTAGGAAGGGAAACAGGAAGGAGTCAACATAAGCTGTGGACTTTCTACTGTTTGAAGGGCTCAGCCATTTTGATTGTTTTCACGCGGCAGCCATTTTGGATATTTAAAGTGATCGAGGGCACAGTCATTTTGAATGTTTTAAGTGGCAGCCATTTTAGATATTCAAAGTGACCAAGGGGCAGCCATTTTGAATGTTTACAAGCGGTGACCATTTTGGATATTTAAAGTGATCAAGAGCACAGCAATTTTGAATGTTTACAAGCAGTGGCCATTTTGGATATTTAAAGTGACAGAGGGTGCAGCCATTTTGAATCTTTACAAGTGGCAACCATTTTGGAGTTTAAAGAGATAGCATTCTCTTTCAGATTCCAGAGACCTAAGAATAGTCTCTGTTTGCTAAGGTCGGCAGGGACATATGAAAGGCTGACAAAAGGAAAAGAGACAGGTAATGAGTGTGTAAGTGTTATCAACTAGCAAATAGAGGAGCACAGTACCCTGCTTGTGTAGATAACATACAAAGAAAATGAAAATCATGGGAAAGTCATTCCAACATACAGTCACCAAATAAATATAAACACAAAAACATCACAATGCTTCAGAGACAACAGAGTGTCACAATCCACACAAAGAAGCAAGATAAAGCAGGAGAAACAAGGGACCAGGATACAGACCCAAATATATCCCTGAGGAAGATGCAGCTTTGGAGCTCCCTGATAAGAATTCAAAAGAAATTATATTTAGGTATTTTCAAATGATTGAGAGACAGATCAAGGAAAATGCAGACAAAACCCTAGAAGAATTTTGGAAGAAAATACAAGAACAAAATGACAAAATAAACAAAAAATTAGAAATGATTCAAAATCTAGAGAGAAATCCAGAAGATTAATACTAAATTGTCAGAAATAGATAACACAATGAAAGGGCAAAGGAGTAGAATTGATGCAATGGAAGAAAGAATTAATGAGATTGAAACAAATAACTGAATACTTCTTTGGAAAGAAATCAATCAGAAAAAAAGATCAAAACAAACTGAAGAAAGCCTAAGGTTCATGTGGGATACCATCAAAAGAAATAACCTATGTGTCATTGGAATTTCAGAACAGGAAGAGAAAAATAAAACCACTGAGAAAATTGTCCAAGATTTGTTGGAAGAGAACTTCCCTGATATGATGAAAGATGAGAATATATCCATTTAGGATGTCCAACGAACCCCAACAGGATAAATTTCAAAAGAAAATAACCAAGACATATCATCATCAAACTCACCAACACCAAAGGCAAAGAAAGAATCATGAGAGAAGTATGGGGAAAAACGAGAAGTTACCTACAAGGGGCAACCAGTAAGACTAAGCTCAGATTTCTCTACAGAAACCATGCAGGTGAGAAGGCAATGGGATGGTTTATGTAAAACCTGAAGGAGAAAAATTTCCAACCAAGAATTATGTACCCAGCAAAACTGTCCCTCAAATATGATGGTGAAATTAGGACATTTCCAGATAAACAGAAATTAAGGGAATTTATTAAAACCAGACCAACCTTATAAGAGATGCTAAAGGGAGTCCTTTGGAAGAGAAGCAACAACAGCAAATAACAACTGACCATTAACACACATCATGACATAACCCAGAAACCAACCCAGCGATGGAAGAATCCAAAGTAAATAAGCCTATAAGATTGTAAACAGGGAACCAGAGACATCAATTGACAAATGAGGACAACTACAAACCAAAAAGAGGGAAAAAACTGTGCCGTTACAGAACTTCTAGATGGTAGGGATGTCAAGACAACGACAAGACAGAACAGACTGTTCTAAACCTGTGAAGAAAACTATAAATCAGAGAGTAACTTCAAACAAAAATGATAAACCTTCACATCAAAATCACAAAGAGGACCAGCACAAATATTTAGCAAATACTAAAACAATAGCAACAAAGGAAGTGATAACATGATTCATAAATAAAATGACCTCAGCATAGAAAATTATATGGAACCAAGAAATTGACACCACGAAAAAGCATATAACAAAAATGACAGCAACAAATTCATATTTGCCGATAATTACATATCTGGCAAGAGACTTATCTCTAATATTTATAGGAAACTCCAACGCCTCAACACCAAAGGAATTAACAATTCAATTGAAAAATGGGCAGAAGACATGAACAGACACTTCACCAAGGAGGATATTCAGGTGGCCAGCTAATACATGGAGAGATGCTCACAATCATTGGTCATCAGACAGATGCAAATCAAAACAACAATGAGATACTGTCTCACCCCAGCACTGATGGCAAGGTTCAACGAGACAGAAAATAACAAATCCTGGCAGGGATGTAGAGAGATTGGGACTCTCATACACTGCTGGGGGACTGTGAAGTGATACAAACACTGTGGAAAGCACTATAGTGATTCCTTAGAAAGGTGGAATTGCAGGTACCGTTTGACCAAGCAGTCCCATTACTAGACACATATCTGAGAGAGGTGAGACCCAGGATTGGAACAGATATATGCACACTCATGTTCCTCGCAGCACTATTTACAATAGCAAAAAGATGGAAACAACATATGTGCCCATTAGCAGAAGAGTGGATGACCAAACTATGGTACATACACATAATGGAATGCTATGCAGCACTAAAGAATAACACAGACTCTGCAAAACACCGCATAATGTGGATGAACTTGGAGGACATTATGCTGATAAGCCAATCACAGAAGGACAAGTATAGTATTAGTTCATTGTTGTGGAGGGTCAAGGAAAGGTTTACATATGGAGGGAAACTTTCTTTGTTGGCTGCCAGGGGTGGGAGGGGAGGGGAGGGAACACTGCGCAAAAAAAAAAAAAAAAGCATTGACCCATGTCACTTTAGTTTTGTGTATTTCACTGTACATAAATTATATTTCAATAAAATGCATTAAAAAAATCAAAAAAAGAGAGAGAGAGAATCAGAAAGTATAGAAAACAAAGAGTAAGATTTGAAGTTTCCCCAGGAGGGGGTTTTACTGCATTTATTCTTGAAATTTTACAATTTATGAGGAAGTTAAAACACTAACCTTCACTTTTCCCTCTTCTAGCTGAGCTTGGCGAAATCTTGCTAAGGCCGTCCTACCAGGGATAGAGAAGATAGTGTTAAATTCTGATCACAGATTTCTTATTACCCATGTTCCTGGATGGGGTAAACTGCTCATGGCCAGATTAAATGTCACTCACATAATACGCTGTGATTAAGAAATAGTAAGGGCTTCCATGTTCCAAGAAGTAAGGTTTACAAGGCCATTTGTGTTTTTGACACCCAAGTATCAATTTTATTACACTGTGTGTAAGGAGTGTATGAAAATCTCATCAGCCCACCATAATGAACAAAATATCCTAAAGACTGTATCATGAGGTGCACCAACTGTTACTCTCACAGTCCTTGTACCTTCTCCAGGTGAACCAAAGTTTATTCAGTATAAGTCTGAGAGCTGTCAGAAAACATTAGTGGGAAAAACAAATGGGCAAATGTGGGAATACTGTTGTAACACATGTAGAAAAAGAAATAGCTTCTCAAAGAGCTCATTACCAAAAGAACCAAGTTATTAAAAACTGCTCCATGAATATTAAGTTATGTAAAACTTCATCCAAAAACGAATTGATACTTACATGGCTTTCTCTGCATTTCTAGCCTTGAAGAAGAGAGAACAGAAAAATGTCAATGTTTAAAAAATCTTTCTTTTTCCTCCATTTCCCTTTTAGTTTAAAGTTTTGCTTGAACCAGACCATGAAAAATAGCAACAATGGAAAATCAAAAGAAGTACAAATCCTGTGACTTTGTTTTCTCTTTACCTAAAATTTTATTCCCCCACTGTTCCCATTCCTCGTATCTGGCTAACTCCTACTCAACTTTCAAAATTTACCTCTGTTATCACCACCCCGGAAAGTTCTTCCCTGACCTTCTAGTTGGGCTGGGACCCTTCCTTCATCTGGGCTTATACCAACCATGGCACTTACACCCAGCATGACAAATGCCTATTCCCTGTCAGTTGAATTTGGGGAGGAAAAATCTCAAGACTGGCTTCTATAAAGTGAGTTTTATGTAAGCATTGTCACATTAGTGACAATACCATCAAAAAGAGAATGTTTTCTGGGCTGCAATTTAAGTAGAAAGAGTACTTGCTGAGTAAGAGACTTGAATTTTACTCCCAACTTTGCCACTTACCATCCCTCACAAGTGGTCTCTTACAACAGGCATCATACTTCTTATCTCATGGGAATGCTATCTTGACTTAATGAGATAAGTATATAAAAGTATCAGCCATGCAGTTTATAGATGTTCAGCAAAGTGAGTGCAATTTAAATTTCCCTTCATACCCTCCCTTTCAACTGACACAGAAACAAACTTAGCAAATACTCAGTGGATAAATAAATATGACATCTATTATGGAATAAAACATAGAAGAGGCTCTCCCAGACAAAGCCACCATCTTGAAGGCTAAGGCTGTGTCCTACCTATTTCTTATGGTTAATTTTATATGTCAGCTTGGCTAGGTTATGGTTTCCAGCAGTTTGGCCAAACACGATACTCTTCCATAACAAAATCAATCAGGTGAAATGGCGCTTCCCTAGGGTGTGTTCTGCTTCCAGACTACAACTAGCTATTTTGGCAGAACTCTCTCTCTCTCCACCCTGCACTCCTTCCAGCACCTGACCTATGGACCTTGGGACACAAGCCTGCAGGAGTCTTCAGTATCCCACCTGACCATAATGATGTCAGTCAATCCTATGAAGTAAAGATTCAGCTATCCATCTATCTAAAGAGAGAGAGAGAGAGGGAGAGAGGTGGTTCAGGAGTAAAATTCTCACTTTCCATGTAGGAGACTCAGGTTCAATTCCTAGCCAATGCATCTTCTGCACAGTACTACCTATCTGTCGGTGGAAGCCTGTGTGGTAGTGCCTAAGGCACTTGACTGCTAACCAGAAGGCTGGCAGTTGAAACCTACCAGCCATCCTCAGAAGGAAGATGGGGCAATCTACTTCCACAGTGACACTGCCTTGGAAACCCAAGGAGGGGTCACTATGAGTCGGGTCCAACTCAATGGCACATAACAACCACCACCACCAAACTAAGATAGACTACAAAGAAAGGCCTAGTGATCTACTTCCAAAAATCAGCCACTGAAAACCCCATGTATCACAGAAGTTCAATCCACAACCGATCATAAAGATGGCACAGAACTGGGCAGTATTTCATTACATTGTGCCATGGGTTGCCATGAGCCAGAGGCCAACTCAACAGCAGCTAACAACAAATATATGTATTGTATATAAGTATATAGAAATATACATACACACACACACACACACAAACATACTTACATAAACATATGCACATTCATCATTAGATCTGCTTTTCTATGGAACTCTAAAACACTATTTCAATTGTCCATTAAAGTCTATGTATTTTAAGTGTTTGTTTCTCTGTGTTTAACACTGCACTGTTGTTAGCTGCTATCAAGTTAATCCTTGACTCATGATGACTCTATGCACAACAGTATTGGACCATTATGATCCACAGATAGGGTGGTATTGGTGTTTCTTTTTTTTTTTTAATTTATTTATTTTGTTGTTGAGAAGGAGTCCTGAACAGCAGGACTGAACCAACATGATCCACTGGTATGGTGGTGGTATTTTTTAATCTTATTTGTTGTTGAGAAGAAATGCTGGTGGTGCAGTGGTTAAAGTGCCAAAACTGACATGACAGCAACGGGTGTCACTGAGAATATACACAGCAAAAAAGACAATTCAAGTTTCTATATGTACAATTCAGTGACACTGATTACATTCTTCAAGTTGTGCAACCCTTGTTATCTTCCTTTTCTGAATAGTTCCTATCCCATTACCCTAAACTCACTGCCCCCCCCTAAGGTTCCTGTCTAATTTTCCGAGTTGTTGTTGTCAACTGGATTTCATACAGATAGTTTTTAACAAAGCATAATGCTCAAGGCAGACTGTTTTTTGTTTTGTTATTCTTTTTTTTAAAATTTTTTTACTAAGTAAGCTAAACACTGTTTGGTTTTAAGAAGACTTCAGGGTATATTTTTCGTTTAAGGTTAAAACATTATTTCAAGACAATAATTTCAAAGGTTCATCCAACCTCCATGACTACAGAAAATTTGAACTCCATGAGATTTTGACATTCTGTTCTACATTTTACCCTTTTTGATTAGGATTCTTCTGTAGAATCTTTGATCAAAACATTCAGTAATGGTAGCCAGGCACCATCCAGTTCTTCTGGTTTCATAGCAAAGTAGGCAATTGTTCATGGTGGCAATAAGCCACACGTTCCATTCCTTACTCTTATTCCTTACTCTTTTTCCTCTGTTGCGCCACTAGAATAGAGACCAACTGTTGTGTCTTGGATGGTCACTTGCAAGCTTTTCAGAAGACCTCGGAAACTACTAAATAAACTAGGAGATAGAGCTGAAGTACTAAACATGTTATTAGACCAGTTAACTGAGCTATCCCATGAAACATGACCCTAACCTCCAAACCAAGAAACCAAATTCCGTAAGGTGTTTGGTTATAGAAGTTTCTCCTACTATATGAAAGGAGAGCATTCCTATGAAACCTTTCATAAGCTGAAACTGCATAAAGCAAAGAAGCAATTGCCATTAATTTATATGGGAAAAATTTCTGAGTGTTCCATGACCCGAAAAATAACCTACAAATCATACCAAATGCCACATAAGACCTAAAATAACACTAACATATTGCATTCACCGACATAGTTCATATGGTGCTTTGATGCTGAGTGTACTTCCTGAGAAAGGAGCTTGGCAATGTCATTCTGCACTCTGCTTAGGGTGCACTCTGCCTCTTTAATGGCTCAGGACAAATCAAACACTGAATGCTAGTTCTGCTTTTCATCTTTTTTAGTAAAAGTGAAAGTGCTCTTCAGATTTCTTTGAGTTAGCAAAAACAGGTACTAAAGTAGGTCTTTTGTAAAAGCAGAGTGGCGTAAAGTGAACTTAAAAATTGGCAGATACCTGTACATAAGCAGCCTTGGCAGTTACTTTGGTCATTGTAGTTGTTTTAGGTATACTTTGCACACAACTTCTGTCATTAGTACTTTTTACAGGTGTACAACTTACTGACAGCACTTTATTTGCCTTTAATTAATTTAACTGGCTGTGCTACCCTACCCATAATTAATGCAATTTTCCATCACTGTTAACCAACTCTGCCTTTCCCCCTTACATTCCACCCCTGACAACCACTAATAAACTTAGTTCTCCACACATTTGCCTTTTCTTGTCGTCTTATATAAGTGAAGTCATACCACACATTTGCCTTTTCTTGTCGTCTTATATAAGTGAAGTCATACAATATTTTTTCCTTTTTCGAGTGACTTATTTCACTCAGCATAATGTCTCCAAGTTCCAGCCACACAGTAGCACGTATCAAGACTTCATTTCTCCTACTGGCTTAGTATTCCATTGTTAAGTATGTACCACATTTTGTTCATTCATTCATCTGTTGGTGAGCATTTATGTTGGTTCTCCTTTTGGGCAACTAGTGCTGCAATGAGATCCACAGAGTTTTCACTGGCTGATTTTTGGAAGCAGATCACCAGGCCTTTCTTCCTAGTCTTAGTCTAGAAATTCTGCTGAAATTTGTCTAGCATCATATCGACACACAAGCCTGCACTGACAGACAGGTGGTAACTAAGTATGAGGTGCATTTGTTGGAAACCAAACCCAAGTTTACCACAAAGAAGGTGAGAATTCTACTACTGAATCACCACTTCCTCCAAATTGTGCTAGGAATTCAACCATGATTCTTGTTTTTGAGGAAGCTCATAGTGACTCCCCCTAAAAAACATAACTTAATATGATAATAAGAGTGTGTATCCAGGATGATGGAAGTCCACAAATATAAATGTATGATGGAGAGAGTTATATAAAATGCCAAATAACTCCTGTAACTACAAATGTCAGAACTCAGGGTTTCTTCTCCCCTGCTATGGAATGGAGGAAAAAGATTCCCTATCATTGTAAGAGTTTAGAAAGGAAAAACCCTCAAGGCTACGTAAGGCAGTATGATGCAATGATTTGAGGAAAACCTTCTCAAAGAAAGGGCTGCATCTAGTCCACTGGTTTCTATCCTTCTTGGAATCTTATGATCATCAATCTGCAATATCTTCCAACGTATCTTCTATAATCTAACTATATAATGTCATCGGCATCTTATGGGGATTTCACTTAATGAAAATATTACAGTAACCAACATATTCGAGCATTTCCTTTGTACCAGTACTGTGCATTCTCATATTTACACATCATGGACGCTTCCTGAACTAATGAAGGAACCAACCATGTCAAACCAAGAGAGCACACTCTTATTCAACACTTCCTTTCCATGCCATTCATTCATTCAATAGTTATGGAACACCTACAACGTGTCAAGTACTGTGTTAGACATTAAAGAAGCAATGGTAAACAAATCTTACTCTCGAGAATCTTGTGGGGAAGACCGACAACAGGCGGTCTATTAAGTTGGTCTAATCAAATAATTCCAGAAATATATAGTCACAACCGCTCTTCATTTTTGCTATGGGTCTTGTGGGCAAACAATTTAGTTTTCACCTTGCACCGTGACTCTGGGCGGGCCCTTGCGCCTGTGTCTCAATATTCCTTCTGCGTAACGTAAAGAGTGTCAGTAGGACTAAAACACTTCCAAGATAATTAAGCAATCCCCAAGGTTCCACTTTTCTCCGCCAACTGATTATAACTACACAAGGCAGGAAGAGAACGCTCATGTTACAGCCGAGGAGCCCGAGGCCAGCAGCGGTGTCTCGCTGGCCCTCGGTGTCACAAGCGCCCCAGGAAGGGCTGGGATCTCTCTTCGCCTGTCCGCTTGCCTTCTCCCTCCACACCCATCCCACTCACCATGGTGTGGGGGAAGGCACCGCCCCCAGGCCTCCAGGGAGCTTCACAGGCTCAGCGAAGATCTACCCTGACCGCAACTGAAGACTACGCGCACGCAGAGACTGGAAAAGGCCGGAAGTAAAGGTAGAACTGTGTCCGGGACCGCAAGAAACGAAAGCGCGCTTCTGTGAGTCGGCTTCCGATAGCATCTGGACGTTGCACGTATCGCACGCACACGTGGAATGGGACGTAGGCAAAACTGCACTTGCGTAGTGGTCATGAGGTTTCTCCTGCTCAGGGCTAGGCGGCTGGTTTTACTCTCGCGATAAGGGCGAACTTTCTCGCATTAGAGAAAATTTTCTGGGCACTGATACGTCTAGTGTATTGTTGTGGGGAGCTGTCCTGTTTTATGCGTCCCTTTGTAGATTTCCATCCCACTGGCTCTATTTTGAGAAAGTAACTAGTCCTTATTCCTCTGAATGAAGTACGTCCACAACCGCCGGGGGCTGCTGCACAAAATCGTTACCCCGGCTGCGCGGACGAAGGAACTATGGCCCCGACAGCTCCACGGTAGGACCTGCAGTTTCGGGTTAGGAAGCGCTGAGACGCTTCTTAGTGCAGATCAGCGCAAGAGTCTGTGTTCTCCAGGATTGGAGGTGGCCGTGCTTCGCAAACTACTCCAGTTCCCTTTTACTTAGCTAGGACCTGTACTTGTCCTGGCTTCATCTTCTTCACCTGGGCTCGCGTATTTCAGAGCTAGACCAGTGCTTGAGTTCACCCTCTTTTAGAATACGGAATTTAAGCAATAGGGAAGAAAAATTCACTTTGGGGAGGAAGGTAGTTGGTGAGATGTAAATCATTACCCGGCCAGGTTGCCAGATGCTGTCAATCTATGTGATGGGCACATGGCTGGGAGCAGAACACAAGCACCGTGGAGAGAGGGGGTAAAGGCCACGGATGAGATAGCTCTGGGGTGGTATTTCCACACAATGGGTCAAGTCGTATTGAGGGCCGGCTGCAAATCCTACCAGTTAACAGCAGCTTTCCCTTCTCAAGAACCATTCTCATTTTACAGAGCTAGGCTTCAGCCATGGTTGTCTCCCTCTACCAGACGGCCTAGTCTAGCCAGTGGTGAGCAGCCTGGCTGTGGCCCGCGAGGCAAAAGCCAGGAGCGGGAAGCTGTGGAGATGTGGTTCAGGATCGGCGAGAACAGGAATGAGTACTTCAGATGACAGGCACCAGGATCTCATGCCTGACCCATGGCAAAGACAGTTTTCTCTCCTCCAAAGTTTTAATGGCCATATAGCCACCCTGCTAGAGACTGCATTTTCTCACCTCTCTGGCAGTGAGGTGTGTATTTGTGGCTAATAATGGGCAATAGGAAGTGAGTCAAAGGGATGCCTGTTGTGAAACAATGAGCTTGCTTTCTCATTCTCTGCCAGCTGAGAGAAGGTGAGCACAGAAACAGCCACCTTGAACTCAGAAATAGAAGGCTTGTGAGGATGCCAGAGCCCCCTCCCAGCACTGGAACATCTAGCTCTGTAAAATGAGAATTAAACTTACGTTTTGTTTCAGCTGCTGCATTTGGGTGTCTTTTGCTTAACCTTTACTTAAATTATCTCTGGTTCCAAAAGGCAGGATCATTCCCCTAGTCAAATGAGACTTACTCACACTTCCATACCTTTATTCATTAAATCCCTGACCTGATAGCTTCTTCTAGGATGCAGAGATTGCATATAGCAGGATTCAAGACGCATTTCCTATGTGGATTGTCCCCCTACATCCATTTCTCCTACCTACTTACCTGGCTTCCATTTGGGGAACCCTCATGTTCTGGGATAAGGAACCCTAATTCCCAGTTTTAATGGAGAAATAGGAGTTAGGCTAAATTCATAATCCATCTTATCTCCCTAGACATATTGATTGGTGGGCTTAAGACCCAAGTGACCTGGTCAAGCTCCCAGAATTTTCTCGCAATGCTGAAACAAATGGTCTTTCCTGCTGGATGTCATCCACTGTGGTGGTGGTGGTGTTGTTATGTGCCGTCGAGTCAGCCCGACTCATAGCAACCCCTCCTTGGGTTTCCGACGCAGTATCACTATGGAAATAGGATTGCCCAACCTTCCTTCCAAGGAGTGGCTGGTGGGTTTGAACTGCCAGCCTTCTGGTTAGCAGTCAAGTGCTTTAGCCACTGTGCTACCAGAGCCATCCACTGTAGGGGTCCTAAATACTAATGAAGCTTTGCCTCAAGCTTACTAAACTACTAAATCTTCAATTACACGAACCAGTAAATATCCTTTAGTGTTGAAGACAGAGTCAGACTTACTGGTACTTGCAACTGACAGCATCCTACTTAGACCATTTCTCTTGCTACAATCTGCTAAGTGGCCTTTCTATTCATACTAGTCCTACCGTTGTCCATGCTGTTCCTTTTCCTTGCAGCATTCTTCCTCCATCTTCCTTCTACCTGATTAATTTGCCTAGTTAATGTTTATTATCTTTTAAGACAGGGTAGACAGCCTGGATTCATAAACAGTTTACAGTATTAGCTCCATGGCCTTAGATGTATTTATACTACAACTGCTTTTTCTCTACTGTGAAATTGGTACAATAATAACTACCTTTTTCTCTGTGTTCCTCATCTGTGAAATTGTAATATTTGCTTTACAGAGCTTTTTTTTTTTTTTACAGGAGACTTTGCATGTGAAGTGCTCAGAAGAGATCGATGAAAAGTTCTGAGTTACTTCAAAAAAAAAAAACAAAAAACCCTGCTCTGCAGATTTATTATGAAGCCTTACCTAAACCCCCATACAGCCAACTGGCCTAGGCTCAAGGTCTTGCACAACTTTGTAAAGGTTC